GCAGGCCCCAGGACAGAAGGCGCCCCAGTCCCCCCGCTACTAGAAAGACCAAGGCATGAGGACCCAGGTATCTGGCCCCCCAGCTCTTTCCGATGAAGAAGGACTCCAGTATCTACCCTTCCAGAGGCCCTGTCTACACCCCTCTCCAGGTCTGCCCCCCACGGCTCCCTCTTGGCTTTCCTTTTTAGGGTGGAACCAAATTTCCGTGGTTTCAAAAAAACCTCTCCGCCCCCCTTTGGCTCTACTCCAGGGTCTCAGCTCAAACGGTTGAAAAATAAACAGACACTCAGGGCTGGGGCCTGGCCGGGCCGGGGTTGAGCAGAGCCCGTCTGCCACCCCACGGCTCCAGCACACTTCCTGTCCTAGGCTCTGCTAAAATCCCCAGTTGCCTTCCTGTTGGCAGAATCTCATCCCGGCCCCCCGAAGGGAAAGTTCCAGGATGGAACCTCTCCCAACTTAGCCCGGAGACAGGTAGCCAGGCTAGGAGTTAGGAGGAGTGTGGGAGGGCTTTCCACCATTTTCCAGGGCTCCCAGAGGGCACTGCCCCCTTGCTGCAAGCACCGTGGGGGTGATGGGCACTGGCGGCAGAGGGAAGCCAGAGATTAAACCAGCTATTGGCGGGGGCCTGGCCCTCCTGATAATGGGTACAGTGCGGGCGACCTGGCTGCTGGGAGGCGCTGTCTGCATGCCACGGGCTGCCGGCTCTAACCTGTTCACGGACACCTCATTTCCCGGGGTCTGGGGTGTGCAGAGGTCATGGCCTTGGAGAGTGGGCCTGGCTACAAAGACAGGGATAAAGGATACTTGGGAAGGAGCGAGGGCCAAGGATAATTATACCCCAGACTCTGGAAATGGAAGGTGAATGGGTCCCAGGATGAAGAGTGAAGGAAGGGCTAGGGAGAGGAGGGAGGAGGGGCGACAGGGGCACAGAGCCGGCCAGCCGGTCACCCTCGGGGTTTCACGCAGGGAGAACAGGGGGCTTGGAAGCTGGCGGGTCACACAGGGACGGCGACCCGAGGCCCTGTGTGTCCAGAAACAGGTGTGCCCAGGGCCCCGGAGGACGGAGGAAAGGATCCCAACTACACAAAGACCTCTGCTCCCGGCGCCTGAGGGTGATGGCTCCTGGGGGGAAGTACGCCGTCCCGACCCCAGCCACCCGCCTACCAGAGGGGAGAAGTGAATCACAGCTGGAAAGTCCATCTGCGGGGGGAGGAGGGGCTGAC